CCCCAAAACCCCAAAACCCCAAAACCCCGGGTTAGGGGCTATATACTGAATTGTATAATTTTTAGGTAAATGGATAGTAGTGAGATGGGTTTATGAGTTTTATAGGCGTTGGTGCTCGAAGTAATCTTGAAATAGCAAAGCATCAAGAGGAAGCTCTTCAGAGACTAGGTTTTTTATATGATGAGATGAACGAATTGTTTGTTCTTCAAAGTCACGCTTCTCATCTTAATGATAATGGAATTATCAGGAGTCTAAATGCCACTGAATTTTTAAAAATTATTAAAAAAGTATGTAATAAGCTAACTCTAGGTTCTTCCTGAGTTAATTTTTGCACAGTCAAGTGATTTCGATAGAACTTTTATCAGACATTCATCAAATAGTAAATTTTCAGTCCAGGATATAATAAAAAATCAACATTTTAATAATTCAAATGGTACTGACATCGACATGGAATGAGATACAAACAATCCAAATCTCAATATACCATTATTCAACACACCAAAAGCATCACAGCCACAAAATCCAAACCCAACAAGATCCAGAAGAAACTCTAATATCCCAAACGCATTCACAAACCTCCAAAACCCACCCCTCCCTCAAAATCCTATCCAAATTACATACTTCGGGCTCCCTCCAAACACAACCCCCCTCACAAACCCTCGAGAGCACCAAATCCCCCACTCACCACCAGCCCCATCCCCAAACCCTCGAACACGAAGAAACTCCACACACCACACAATCCCTCCTCTCACCCAATCCCCCCTTCAAGCCCCCCACACAACTCCTCGCTCCAAGGCACCTCCAAACACACCTCCCAAAACCCCCCAAAAACCCCTTCTTTCCACCCAATCTCTATCCGCCCACAAGCGTAACAGAAAAGCCTTCCTCAAACTTGAGGAGTCCTGCATGGATTCTTCATAACCCAGAATTGTTCCGCAAGAAGCTTAATTTTACCCTAAGTTAAAATACTAAACATTCAATAATTTCATCTACTGCTGGGGTTTTGGGGTTTTGGGGTTTTGGGG